CGTGGGACTCCTCAATCCCCCCCCCCCCCCCTTCGAGGCCCAGCATCCTTGCTGGCACACCACCTCGTGTTCACCCCCTTTTGGGGCTCAACCTCCTCGCTAGCACATCGTCCAGTGTCTGGCTCTGATACCATTTATAACAACTCAAGCCTACCACTAGCAAATAGTGTTTGCTTTGGATTTTCCATTTTGGGCTTCCCCTCACGACTTTAAAACGTGTCTACTAGAGAGAGGTTTCCATACCTTTATAAAGAATGCTTCGTTCTCCTCCCCAACCGACGTGGGATCTCACAATCTACCCCCTTCAGGGTCCAGCGTCCTTGTGACACTCATTCCCTTCTCCAATCGATGTGGGACCCCCCAATCCACCCCCCTTCGAGACCCAACATCCTTACTGACACACCACCTCGTGTCCACCCCCTTCAGGGCTCAACCTCCTCACTTGCACATTACCCGGTGTCTAGCTCTGATACCATATGTAACGGCCTAAGCCACCGCTAACAGATATTGTCCTCTTTGGGTTTTCCCTTTCGGGCTTTCCCTCACGGCTTTAAAATGTGTCTACTAGGGAGAGGTTTTCACACCCTTATAAATAATGTTTCGTTCTCCTCCCCAACCGGGATCTCACAGTTTATTTAGTGAAGTCATGCTTCAAAATGTCATATACTTATGGTATATTGCTTGCTCACGTCCTGATTTTTCCAATGCAGGCTTGTGGATCAGAACATGACCACTAAAGATGCCTATAAATACTTCGTGCTAAGAGCTCAAGAACTTGCTATTTCAAAAAATTGGACTCCTGTAAATTGGTATCTAATCTGTTCTTCAGTGGATCTTGCATTTGTTGGGAACACATAATGTGTCATGAATGTCCGTTTGAACGGTTCTAATCTTCTCTTTCAGGGAGGAAACTTTTGTTAACTTCCCAGAAGGTCTGAATCCCAGTACAATAGTTCATAATTGGTATGATCAACTGGTGTTTTGTGTCTAGAAGCTTAGAAACTGGCAGATTCTGTGTCTATTAATGTATAGCTATTGACAGGCTGCGTGGTGGGATTTGTCCCAAGGCTGTTGCACATGGTTTTAGATGCATCTTTAGTGATCAAGGTGTTTGGTATCTCGACCATTTAGACGTCCCATGGGATCGTGCGTACCGTGCTGATCCCCTTGAAGGAGTATCAGATTTTTCTCAGCAAAAGCTTATCATTGGAGGAGAAGCTTGCATGTGGGGTGAGACTGCCGATGCGTCGAACGTCCAGCAAACGATATGGCCTCGAGCTGCTACAGCTGCTGGTATGCTTTGCACCTGTATTTGATGTCATTATCAGCCAGCAATGCTTGCTGAGGCTACACTGTGCTAGAGCACAAAACTGACCCCATCTCCCTTGTTCCCCTCAGAGAGGTTATGGAGTAAGAACGAGACGGTCTCGGGAAATATCACCGTGTCAGTGCTACCACGCCTGAGTTACTTCAGGTGCCTTCTTAACAGGCGTGGCGTCGAGGCTGCTCCAGTCAAGAACTTCTATGCTCGACGACCTCCTACTGGTCCAGGATCATGTTATGACCAATGAAGTTCATGTTATGATCTGTTTTTAACTTTGTGCATTCTACCTATCTACTTTCCTGGAATAAAATTTCATCCATACTGATCTGTTTGATTTGTTTCTTAAAAGACTTGAGCTTGTTCCTGTGGTGCTCCTTGTTCACTGTCAGAACAATGTCAATATACTTGGTCAGTACTCTCCACTCCACTTTCTTACGGTTCTTTATTATCTTTGAAAACGTCTGGAGATCAGAGTCTGCTAGATATTGTTCTCTTTAGACTTTTCCTTTTGGACTTTCTCTCAAGATTTTTAATACGTGTCTGCTAGGAGAGGTTTTCACACTCTTATAAGGAATGTTTCGTTGCTCTCTTCAATCGACGTGGGATCTCACAATCCACCCCCTTGAGGGGTTAGCGTTCTCACTGACACGCCACTTGATGCTTGTCTCTGATACCATTTGTAACCGCCTAAGTCCACCGCTAGCAAATATTGTCTGCTTTGGCCCGTTATGTATTGTCGTCAGCCTCACGATTTGAAAACTTGTTTGCTAGGGAAATGTTTCCACATTCTTATAATGAATGTTTCGTTCCCCCCTCCGACCGATGTGTGATCTCACAATCCACCCCCTTTGGGGGGGGCCAACGTCCTCGCTGGCACATCACTCGATGCCTCGCTTTGATATCATTTGTAATTGCCCAATCCCACCACTAGCAAATATGGTCTGCTTTGATTCGTTACGTATCGCCGTCAGCTTCACGGTTTTAAACGCGTCTGCAAGGAAGAGGTTTACACTCTCTTATAAGGAATATTCGTTACGTATCCACCACCCTTGAGGGCTTAACGTCCTCACTAACACAACATTCAATGCTAGGATACCATTTGTAACAGCCCAAGCCCACCAGTAGCAAATATTGTCCGTTTTGGCCCGTTACATATCGCCGTCAGCCTTACGATTTTAAAACACAACTGGTAGGGAGAGGTTCCTACACCCTTATAAATAATATTTCGTTCCCCTCTCCAACCAATATGGTCTTATAGTTTGTCGGTGTTGACACGTCAACGTCATTCCCAAGCCATAGTCCAACAAGAAGTTTCCCTTTCCTACTGCACAAAGAAATTATGGTCCAATCCAAATCATAGGTTACTTGAACTTAAAGGAATTTACTAGAAAAACTCACAAGTCATTCCCCACCAAAAAAAAAAAAAAAAAAAAAAAAAAAAAAAAAAAAAAAAAAAAAAAAAA